GAGCTGTCTTTAATGCCGGAGCAACTATGACTGGTTGTGCATAAGCCGTAGGGGCACGAAACAGTACAGTGCGATTGCTCCATGGCTTTCGATCGTCTCGTCCCTCTCACCCGTGAACTTAAGCAAGCGAATTCCCTCTGACCCTTAGTGATATCTGATTGGATCATATTCCACGATCTGCGGCGCCTAAAGTCCCTTACCCCAACACGAGACTGTCTGACTACCGGCTTGTACGTTTTGTAATGCTCTTGTGTTTAACACAAGAGTTCAGTCCATTCGAGTGCTGATGGCACTCCTGCTACACAGCCGAAGTTCACCGGGCCTGTCTGAGACTCCCAGCTGTAAAAAAAGTGTGGTTTCTCGCTCGGGTTAGCTGGGCAAGCACCAGGGCCCTTGTTACGGCTGAACCATTCGACCGATCGATAAATGAACCCAATCGGTCGTGTGATTTTCGGGCCGGCACAGGAGGAGGATAGGTTCCGAATCCGGTGCAGCCTGCGTTAGTAGAGAATCAGCCCAAGAGAATCAGTTGTGGAACTGAGTCGGTGAATCACAGGCAGATAGCCGATTCCAAACCAACCAAGATGTTTACAAATCACATACTCACATACCCACGCCTTCCTGGTCGTGAGAGTGGTTACCGACTCGATTGAACATCGATATGTTGGACACCTTGGACGCTTAATTCCGTCCGAAAGGCGTATAATGCGATGGACTAGAAACCGGCTCCAATAGATTGCGGTTTTCATACAACACCGAAATTTTGGCAAGTTTTCATCACAGACAGCGGTGTTCTTTTGAACTCGCCATCTCCTTTTCTATTTAACTTGTCATAAATTTGATTATGGAAACAGACCTATTCTCGTGCTAGGATGGTGGCATCGATTTGCTCTCAGACGGACGACTGTCTAGTTTGGAGTATGCAGACGATATTGTGCTGCTAAGTGAAGATCCAGGTAATTTGCAAGCTTTCCTGGATAGCTTGAATGCTAGCGTAGCCGTGTTCGGTATGCGTTTTGCACCTTCAAAGTGTAAAGCGTTGCTACAAGATTGGATTGCCCTAGTCCCCAACCTCACCCTTACTGGGGAAATAGTAAAACAAGTAGAAGCATTTTGCAATTTGATCAATTATATCTCACCCGGTGCGTGCATCACACATAAAGTATCGGTACGCGTACATCATGCTCGCTTCTGGTATGTAACGCAAAAACTGAAACAGGATCAGTAAGCTGTCAATGTTTGAACACCACGACTGTCTACGTAGCAGAGCGTGAACTTGGTGAGGAAAACAGATGAGCAATGCTGAGCTTAGACACAGAGTTGTAGGATTGCCGCGGTCGCTCACAGGAGCGTGTTTCATTTCCACAGATTTTGTTAGTTGTGGCCGGTGTTGTGCATGTCACGGCGTGCGATGTTTGCGGAGGCAGGAAGCGGTTGGAAAAAAGCCAGGGTTGGTCATTGATTATGTTCATCATGAGGTCCACATCGAGGGAGCCTAACGGGACTTATATGACCGAGTTTCCTTGAGCAAGCAGTCGACCGTCATATATTACGTGGGTTGGGACATGTGCTACGAACGTCATCAAATTGGTTCCCACAGTGAGCGATGTTTGCCGAGGTAGGTGGTGGTTGGCAAAAAAATGAAGGGCGCTCAAACTAAGACCTGACATGAGGATATGAAAACACTAAGCAGGAAACTGGGTCACATAGATCTCTTTCGGATCCCTGGATGGGGAAACTGAGATCATGCTAACCGTTGGTTAGAGACACTGTGTCTCAAACAGTGGTGCCCATTCATCTACTCATTATTCTAGAAACTTGCGTCTATATGAAACCTCTGTCTTCTTTTTGACTCTGCTCTGAACATTCCAATCATCATTCTGCTCTTTCATCCAAAGGGGCAACCAAAGGGCAATAAACAAAAATGCGGCGCACCACAGTGCATAGTTAGTGGTTGTAAAAACCGAAACTGGAAACATGCATGCAAAACTATACAGTAAGGCTATTCTTCCACTAATTTTGCTTTAAACCTGCTGTCAAAAATGAACTTTGATTTTCTGCTAGTCACGTTCGGACAGTATAAAAATGTTCATTGTTACATCCTTGGATTTCGACGTGAACATCCCCAGTTCATTGCACACCAACATCATCATCCTTGTTCTACTCGATTACGTCACATTGTTCCTCTTCATCCCTGGTAGAAACATCATATTACGATTAATTTTTGAAAATTTCTGCGCCCTTCGAAAGGCCGTACTACACTTCCACGATCTTCGTCACATTGTTCGAATTATCATATTTTCGCTCAATGGAATGCATCGTATTAATTCACGGGGTTAAATTGTTTGTCTCAAACGTACCAGGTCATCCGTTTTATGGTTTGTCAGCTTGTTTGACTTCAGTTCCTCTCCGTCCGCTTAGAATGGTTCACCTCAAGAACTCTTCAAATTTAGTGCTGCTTCCCTAACTGGGGCGACAACCTCCGGTATAAATGAATTAATTCACACGTCTATCATCTCCGACTGTTGGAAGCCAGTTACAATCATATCAATCTCCAAAGCATCTAAATCTTCTAACCTCTCCAAACATTTTCGCCTTATAGCGGTAACATCTTCAACTCTTAGGTTATCTGAAGGGGCGATCCCAAAACACCTTCAGCAGTCTATAAACATTCCCAATGATACTTCACAGTTTGCTTACGAACCCAATAGATCTACCTCAGACGCAGTTTCCACCTTCATTTATTTTCTCATTACATCGGGGAAAGCTTCAGCTAAACCCGAAGTAAATAACTCTGGAGTTCTTCAAGTAGCTGTGCTATCCCCATACTTATTTTCCACTTGCATTTGTAATATTCCCTGTGTTTCTCATGCAGTTAATGTTGTGCTGTTCAAACCCATTTCTTCTCTCACTGATCTAAGCTACTTCACTGACAATTTTGGTCGGATTCAACCGCTCAATCCGGACTAATCCTAAACCCCAGTAAGTGTATTGAATGGTAATACGGTTTTGCACGCTCTTCATACCTGACAAACCCCACAGTCAAAACTAACAATTAATTTATCTAGAATGAACTATGTCGAATACCTTGGTGTAACTACAGCTGGCAACCTTTATTGGTCAACCCACATCCACAACTGCATTGGTGAACCACAACGCCTATCATTTCAAATTCCAAAGCTCAAGCAGTTTCGTTCATCCCAGCCAAGTATTTTTAACTTTGTATATCATTCTGTTTTCTCCTGGGTTACTTAAACAAGATATCGAAGTCTTTTGCTGAGGTCTAACTATTATTAGCCGCGTTTCTTCTATTCCTTTGATTGAAATAACTGTGAAGCTTTCGGAGTGTCACAACTTTCTTTGTCAATTTTGCAGAGATGATTTTCACAGATCTTGATCATCCATTACACACAACCGACACGTTGTCATTTCCATCCTTTCGTACGTTCTAAACTCCGCCAAACTTCATCTCATATAAAGACTTATTGAAATTCACCAATACCCTATCATGCACAGTTCTTCACAAACAACGAGGGGATAAAAAGTGAACTTCGACCTAACTTTGGACCACGAAATGTTCTCACGCTGTCTGTTGCAACGTTTTCACTTTTAAATTGTTTGAATGAAACATCATGTGTGAATTGAGCACACATTTTTCTATTCCCACTCCCACCCCTCGCCGACTGAAGACTTCTATTCCCACGCTTTTTTCTTTGTCAATATGTGGTCAATCTCTATATTGCATCCTGTCTGGCTGACTGATGAAAGTCTATTCGGTGAGTCGGTGAAGTCATTTAGTTTGTCCAACAACTGTACTGGACCGAACGCCATAAGCACAAACGATGACACACTGTTCCCCCTAAGCCCTACAGCCAAAGCAATACTGACCGTGGTGATTCGGACATTGTTGGTAGCTCAGTCCCTCCAAGGCTTACTTATCAAGGTAACTAGGACCAGGGACCAGGTAGAAGGTGGGCATATGTGAATGGGAAAAAAATGCTTCAGAGGCTTGGAACAGAACTTGGTGACTGTGCTGTTTTTTATCACTAGCCTTGAAACCACAATCAGTTATTCCTCAACTGTACCTCGCTCATATCTGACTCACTTAATAAATAGATGATCTAAGCGGAACAGAATGGAGTCGATTCGTTTGATAAGAGAATATGCTCCGGAAGGTAGAGATGAATACTCGTTTTCAGAGGAAATTTTGTTGCATACAGAAACCTATAAATAATTGAGTGTCTCAGTGAACAAATTTTCTCACGTACTCGCGGTTAGAAAACGAATTGAGTAAACGATTATTGATCCGTGGTTATCTATCAAAGAGTGTAATGTGGTAATGGAGTATGCACTGAAAAATATGGCACGCAGTGCACATTATCGTGATCTGGTGGATGATAACTTCTCTATTATTTTAATGAGCTCCATTTGCCCACTAAACCAAACAAGAAAAGGTCGGTTCAGTTACGAAAATAGGTCACAATCAAAGAACTTACAAGAAAGTGGATGTGATTTCACTACGAAATGACACTAGCAGTTTTTATAGCCGAGCAGAGCACGCACCCCGGTATGATTAGTGGCCGTCTCCCACATGGAACCAGAAATTTCTTATGGATAGAATTATAATGTGAGTGTTTGCTGCTTCACTACCGGCAATGTTTAAGTAGCCTGATTATAAATGAAATAGTCATGGACTGGGCACAAATAATTGTCGGGGGCCAAGTGACAGAGACGCAACATTTAACGGTAATTAACTCAAATAGTGCTCACTATTGGACTGTACTTCTACGTTTAAAACTGTGAATTTCTGCTTTTTTTACTGCATCACAATCTTTCACATCATTATATACAGCCACGCTTGAAATCAACAGCACGCTGGATTCAATTGGCTTAGTCGAACACAGTTACCGTAAAAATAAAGAACCTTAGCACTCGCTGTATTTCCTATGTCTGCCCAGGCCATGAGCTGACATTTTCCAGTTGTCTACTGTCGCAATAAATTACGTTTTGCAGAAGGTAATCCTGAAGATCTGAGCAATTAACAGACCCAAGAAATTAAATGTATCCCCAGGCATGTAATTTAATATCACAAAATTATTCTTCAAAATGGACAATGAATTTATGAAAGTTTTGCAATTGTGTGCACTTACTTTCGCCTTGGAAATTGTGAACCCAACAGCGGCATCGCTTGATGTGTTGGTTGTCAACATTGTTGTTCGACCAAGCGAGTCGGAACCCCACAATCCCATTCCATTCATGTGTAACTGACGATCCGGTGTCCGAATCCACTTGTTTCGATGAAGTGTTAGTAATTGCACATAACTCACAGTGATGTCATAATTAAGCCACGACGTCCGCACTAACCGATGCAAAGTGGCCTGAGGTGAATTCATTTGGAGGTTATCGAATTGGCATGTGAAATGCATCGCTTTCCCAACCTCCGGAACTGAAGGTACTTTATTTACTGGTTCTTCCGGTTCAGTACGATTTGCAATTGTTGTGGTTAAATCCCGCTTTACTTTGCCCAACTGACAACGTAGAGTCATGTTACCACTTCGAAGTCCACCGGGTATTTCAAAACTGGGAACGAAACTGATGGCAATTGTGTAGTTCAGATGAATCAATTTTCTCTTTGGTAGCAAATGTCCATGTAGAGTATGTGGCTGAGTCAAATTGATAACCGAATCGTAATAGGCCAGTTGCTTCTCCAACCACAAAGTGCTGGAACTCACTGCTTCGATCGAACCGATTTCCGGGAACGGAAATGCTGCTGCCTTGCATATCCAAATTTCCCGGCTCGGTTCAAAGTAGAATTGAAGTATCTGGGTGGGCATGGAGAACATAACTGTTTTCACCTCACTGCGCAAATCGATAGAACCTTTGTCTCCGACTGATTGTGCCGCGAACAGATCGATCACTTCACAGAAAACACGTGCACCGAAATCTTTTGCTCTGAGCATTGTCACAGTAAATTCAATTCGTCGAAACACATTATTCACATCACTTCGATAACTGACGGTGCATCGTTCCGGATAATATATCTTATCGGGCAAATCTTTCGTGATCAATTGATCACATTTGTTATCCAAATGCGAGGCCAAGGCGCATGGGATCTCCCGATCTCCCGTGAATGGATTCTCCTGATTCATCCCGCCGATGACAGATTGATGACTGCACAATATGATGGAAAATGATGGAGCCAGATAGTACAGCTTGAATGGAAGTGAGTTGGCCGTGGCTGCACCGTCACACGTCACATCCAATCGCGTTTTATCCTGGGATAAACTTCGTTCTAGATCCGGTTGGAATCGTATTTTCGGTGCACTGGGACAGCTGGGAATGGCAAGTAGATTTGTAATCGGATNACATCCAAGTCGATCTCTAGCCAGGAGAAGTTGGCTAGTGTTGAAACTCCAACAGCCTCGAGTTGAAGTGTCTGCCGTCCGAGAATGTGGTACGCATCGTCACGCGCTTGGTGCTTGCTCGATTTATGTTTGAGTAGCAAAAGTGCTTCCATTCCCGGAGCAAATCCTACAGCATGACATTGGAATAATGCTGCTCTGGTGGTCACATTTGGCCACGTTTTCACCGTGAGACGCACACCACGTATTTTTGGCTTGATCACGGTCAATTTGGTCGTAACATAATTGACGGAATCAAACACCTGGAACAATGAATGCATAGAGGGAAGGAGGTAGGATGAAAATATGCATATGTGAGTGGAAATTCTTGAGGTATGTGTCATACAAATCGTACACTATCCCGGATAACATGAATTTGCTTGATCTTAATACTGTCAACCAGATGCGCAAGAAAAATGACAATTGAGATCAACTCACAAAACACGTAGTTGATATTTCCATATAGGAATAAGAACCGTATTCATTAGACCATCCACGAAAACGAGATCCGGATTAGGAGGATCACATGTCACAGGATCAAACCTGGTCAACTGTGGCGGATGTATATTTGAGGAGTATGTCTGCCGTACCACAGTTTCATGTGAGCCCCATTTTTTTAGAAAGGATATATTCTGTTTGGACTAAGTGCAACGTTTTGCTAACCAATTGCTGGTTGGGCAAGGAATATGGGTAAGGGATCTTGATCTCTTCTTGCTGGAATGTACAAGAGTGAGGAAAGACTTGATACCGACTTTTAGATTGCAAGAGATCCATCAGAACTCCACATAGACGACTTGATTACGACTTCTGTTGCTGGAGCATGAGGGATCACAGCTTAAGGCTGCAGAAAATCACGCTAGGTTGCAGATCGGGTTCAACTTCGTCTCATTTCGGGTCATGCCTATGTAGACCACGTGACCCGCCGAAGTCAAGTCAAGAAACAGTCTATGCCCCCAACTAGAAGGGTGAATTTTCAGCAAATTACGAACATGGACAATCGATATATATGCATATAATTGCCATAATAATAACAGAAAAGAAATTCGATTCTGCAGTGAAAACAACACTTTGATGCAAGCTACTTTCCCTGAATTGGGTGCTAATCGTGTTTCTTTCGAGAAAGAGCCAAACCAGATATGGAATTACACTGCTTCTATCGGAGGAATTGTGTGCAACAAAGAGTTGTGATATTTGCAGCGAGTTCGGAGATTCGACAGGGCTTTCACGATTTTGCGGTGCAAACAGTGTCCTTGATCACGCGTTATCGTGTCACTGAACCTGACACAAACATTGAAATGCCTAGAAACCTAACACTCACCCAACACAACTTTATCATATCCATTCTATTGAGACAAAATTTGAAGGATTTGGCGAGCAAGATAAAATTCTTTTTATTTCTACCAAAAATAAATATTGAGGGTCAGTATAAGCATTGTGGAAGGACGCGCAAAATTCATGAATTTAAGAATAAGATTTTGTGGAGCGGACAGTTTTCTGAGCCCGTATGCATTAAAGGATATTATTTGTTAAAAAACGCTAATAATGTTAACAAACCAGGACATGATACGAGTGAGAGTGACATCGAGAAATTCAACAAAATCAGATATTGGGATGCTTTGACCTATAAGATCGTGGAAATTACTTAGCATTGAAAGATAACGAGGACCGCTTTTCAGACTAAAGGGAACATCGATGAGCTCGTTGAATTTAACTACAAGTAGTTAACTGCACCAATGTTCACAACTTCAAGTTAGCATTTTGGTCGGAAAAGTTCACCGAGATGAGCAGGCAGAGCTTATTGTCAGTGAAAGATGGACAGCTTGTAAGGCCTATAAGTTCAAACGGGTTTTTAAAAGGATGCCCTTAATGAAGGTCTGTTGGTACGGTGTGCATCTTAACACCGGAACCCTCCCAAAATATAAGGGTTGTAACAAATTGGCTAGAGAAATCCAAAGTTGCTTTACAAACATATCAACTATGCAAGGAAGGTGGAATGTGGAATACCAGCATTCAGATCGTCTGGACATGTTTCAACCACTGCTCTTGAGGCCGCGGTGTTCCTAAAACCCCAGTTCGATCAAGTGTTTACTATAGGGACACAGAAAGCATTACAGATTCCAAGAAAACTGACCTGTGTATCTTATTCGTCACTGGTTAATATGGATTTTGACGGTGAGAGTTTTAGAGCAAGACTATTAACTTTGCGTAAGAATTCATCCCCAGGAGCAAACAACGTGCATCCTTGGACTATGATCTCACTATCCAATGACATATATAAACCCCTGGCTTTGAGTTACCAAAGAATGTTCAACTAGGCCGTAATTGTGCAGTCATGAAGGGAAGGGGTGATTTCACCCATCACAGTGATCCCACCAACTACCACCGTGTTACCCTTCTTCCGATACTGTCGAAAATCATGGAGACTGTTGTGGCAGATATGTTGATGGATTATCTAGTGGAGCATGAGGTTTTTTCTCCAACTCAGCACGAATTTTGGTATCAAAATTTGTACACCACAAATCTACTTCTTGCAGGAGGTGAGTAGACAAAATCCGTCGATGCAGGCAAGCCATTGGATATAGTTTATTTGGACTTCTCCAAAGCGTTTTATTGATTGAAACACCAAATCATACTGCTTAAGCTCTACACGTAAGGAGTAAGAGATTTGATAATCGACTGGATCAAGGAGTTTCTGCCACAAAGANCCACAAAGAAACACGTTATATTGTGTTGGTAAATCATTATCAGAGCCTATCACCGTTACCCGAGGGGTTCCTCAAGGGTTCTTACTGGGGCCTCGTCTCTTTCTTGCATTTATAAACGACCTGCCGCATGTCCTTAGGCCAAAAAGGCCACAATTCGCGGGTGACTCTAAAATCTGGAGAACTGTAAAACATCTAGAGGATTCAATAGCACTCCAAAACGATAAATGCAGCCCACCGATGGTCAATTGTCAAGACATTGAATTCAACGTTTCCCAATGCAAAATTATTTCCATGGGGCACAGGACTCGTTTCTCCTATGCTCCGGGGAACCAAATGTACCGCATGCCACTGGTGAAAGGAACTTGAGAGTTATTATACAGTAGGACGTAGAATGATTCATGCACTGTGCCAGAGCATCATCCATGGCTCTAAAGCAAGTTGGATTAATAAACATGCTTTCGTGCAGTTCGAAAAAGCACTGTTCCCATGCTTGCGATCAGCGTTCATTTGGCCACGCACAGAGTACGCCGTTCAAGTGTAGAATCTATGGTTTAACCGCAACAGGAAGGCTCTCAAACGTCCGTAAAGGTTGGCAACAAAATTGGTAAAAGGTCCGTATAACAAGATAGTCCGAAAAACTACAAATATTGGGGATTTGCTCATTTCAATACCGTCGACTTTGGGGGAACTAATCACGACATACCAACCGAACCACCCTTGCGGTTCTGTGTTGACTTTATCTCAAAAGGATAGCCTCAGGGGACATCCAATAAAGTTGAGGACCCAGAACGGCCACTATGATTGCCGACAGCACTCACTTGTAGCCATAGCGTACGGGGTATGGAGTTATATTCCATCCCAAGTAGTGTATGCTCCTATGGTTGATCTATTCAAATCGCAACTTAATAAAGTATTGGATCACTTAACATTTCGACATCTGTGAGTGAGCTTGATCGCAGCTGGTGGTGGTGTTGGGAAGGAGATCACATCACGAATAGCGAAAGCTGGAGCAGCTTTCGCCAACCTGTGACATCTGTGGCACCGCTGTGTTGTCCGATTGAGCCTTAAGAGAAGGACGTGCAACGCCGCGATTCGTAGCGTTTTGCTTTACAGTTGCGAGGCCTGGCCTCCGCGTTGAGGATTCTAATCGACTTTATGTATTCAACCACCGATTTCTCCGAAGTCCGTGTCTGTTAGGAATATCGGGTGAGCATTGACGAGGTCCGTCGTCGTGTGTTGGACAGTCGCCCTTTAGCAGAAGCAATCGCTTTACACCGCCTCCGATGGTTTGGTCACGTATTACGTATGACTGCACATCGACTGCCTTTCCGTGCTCTCTTTGCACTTGCCGGGAAAGGCTGGGAGAAGCGGCGCGGCAATCAGACCATGACATGGCGTAGAGGCATGAAGAAGCTGTTATCAGCTTTGGCCTCAGTTGGTGCAGCCCGCCTTCCAGGTTGAGACCCAGGGGATGAGGATTGTCGCTGGTTAGAGACGTTGAGAGATAAGGCCCAGAATAGAAGTCAGTGGCGCGAATGCTGTATGGTCTGCCTGTCAAAATCTCGTGCCCCGTAAAATCAACAAACACAAAAAAATATCAAAATGTGTACGTGTTGCTTAAGACCCACCATCCGTTGCCAACACACTTCAGAACTTCTCGCTCTCGAACCCGTTTCTGTGTTGTCCACATCACCCGTTATTGTTTTACGCAATGCATGATTGGACCAGCTTGGTAGGTGTCGATACCCTATTTGATCCACGTACCAACACAGACAGACACATAACCCATCATTCACAAATCCGATAACCTTGATTCTTGCATACCTATACACTCCCACATATACACAGTTCTTACCCGGAACGCTACATGTATATGTAAGGTGTTTTTGTTTGCATTGGTTTTATTGGAAATTGTCTTGTAAGTTGCGCATTCATCCTTGTTGTTTGTTATCTTTGGTTCTCATTCTCGCCTGCACCATGATCGAGTGAATAAGCATTTTTTCTGGAATTTCTAACGAAATGCTCGTGTGTGAGTGTTCTACACAGTTCATCACACAGTTTCAATTTTGACATGCACGAACCATGTTTACGGCGCTTTTGGTTCTAGACTGCCCATTTGGATGAAGTATGAGTAAGAGAAATACATGAAGGTTGAAAGTAGAGTCGAAAGAGAAAGAAAATGAAGAATTTCAGTGGATTAAGATTGTAAATAAATTCGGAAGGTGCACAAACGCCACTGTTTACGATGCTCAGACATATCACTCAGTGTCTCTAATCAACCAGTAAATGCGTGCTAAACGTACCTGAGGTTCAGGATCTCCTTGGCGTTGAATGCACAACACAATATCGTCGGGGTTGTCAGGTTCCAACAGAATGCTTGAAGTGACAGCGATCGTCTCCACCGATTTCTGAAGAGACTGCAGTCTGGAGGCCAGTTTCTTGTGGCAAACTTGCATTAAAATTTGGATATTGATTTTCTTCTTTCCAAGCACTTTCAGAATATTGTTATTTGTTAGGCATAAAACTAGTTCAGCTGTGGTCTGTTCTTCATCGGGATGCGCCACATTTCCCAAACATGTCATCCCCAACTCTACGCCGGTAAACCATTGGTGCATTGGTATAGAAAATCGCAAAGCTGGTACCAGAGTTTGCGGTGGTAGCTGGGCTCCGACAGCCTGGCAAACTGCATCAAATACTGTCTCACGTTTGATGCGAAGTGCAGGATCGTTCCATTCTGGTCGACATGTGTCACACGAATCGGTCGGATTGAAGGTGGGCAGAATGCTGGTAAAATTGAGCGGATTTAATAATTCTACCAAACGATTATTAAACAATTCCTCTGAACCTTGTAATGCATGAGTAACGGCCAAAATGATTCGAATTTCTTGAGATTTCAAAGCACTTATACTGTTCTTTAATTCGTCCAGTGGTTCCAGATCCACAAATTTGTCCAGAGCGAGAAGGACAACGTGCTTCCGTTTCGTTTTTGGAGGACGCATTTTTCTCAAAGCTTGGACCACTTTGTTTAGTGAGAGTTGCGATGCATCGCAACCACTGTCCAATGTGGTTGGTTTCAACTCTCGTGAATAAAGCCTTTCTGCTATCTCCTGTCGCAAAATGTTTTCACTGAACTGGATTGATTTGACTTTTGGGCTGTGTTCCACATTAGCAAATAGTACATCATCCATTAGGATGTTGAACCGTGTAGTCTTCTTCCCGTATGGTAAACCTAAAATAATCTGTCGCACAAAAGTCAAAAAGTAATGACCGTAGAACTGTATTTCCGGGTCCGGATTGTTTACAAGTGAGCACGTGCTCATAATGTGTCGACTGAGTACTATGGATAGATCCAATTTCAAATTTCTCGTTGCGCATATCATGACCGAGAATGTGATAGTTTTGCGAATCTCGTTCACACGATCCTGCACTACATTACTTCCCAAACACACATAGGTGTAAGTCATTCCTCGGTATTTCGGATTTTCCGGTATGATCAACCGTGCTCCTTGTATTTCTAGGCTTTCTTCGGGGGAATCGGTAAAAACTTTCTTTGGGCCACCCCAGCCACCTTCATTTCCGGGCAATAGAGTGACCATATCTTGTCCTTGTATTCCCTCAGAATACCATTGAACTTTGCCCACTTCCCAACGATATTGTAGGGACGGTAGTCCGAAACCACCTGAGCAAGTAAATTCTGTGCCCAGAGGTACCGGTTGACGATCGTAATCCGTTGTTATGGTTACGACCGTCGGTTCACCATTAGCTGGTTCCTGAATTGTGAAGACCGTATGACATTCAATCTGAGCACTATTGTTCCGTTTGTTTATGTCAAACGGTGCAATCAAGTCAATGAATAGTGTGGCACAAGTAATCCTCAACAAACCAGTATAATCTTTGGACCAAACGCCCACTATCTTATGCGACTCTCTTGTTGCTGGATTCACCGTCTCGGAATCGGTCAGTCGCATTTTCTCCAGTTCCTGCATCTGACCGGTTTGGTCATTTTTCATTAGATACTGAAATTGACGACGTGAGGGGAACATTTTTCCCAATATCTCATCCCGATCACAATGTGCGTATGCGGTCTGATCAGACAAAAGAAACGTAACACCATCAGCTTGCTTTTGTCTTTGTGAAACCAAATCTTGTCCCTGAGAGTCCAATGTGAGTGCGCACTTGACCGCTGTCTGATCCGGAAGTACGACCAATTTTCGAACACCAATCACTGTATTGATACTCCCAATTATTTGGTTTGTCTTGCTGCAATAATAACTCCCAATATCACTATACTCAGTGTTGGCTATTTCGAGAACAACGTAATCAATCGTCACATTCGCGTTCAACTCGAATGGTCGTTCCAAGGGTTTGAACTCCGTTTCATAGTTCGCTCGGTAGTAACACTTGATATCCTCAATCTTGCTGCTTCGTAGCCGTCCATGAATGATAACTGTCGACCTCCAAGGTATAGATGCTTTCCAACCCACTCGGAGTCGAATCATGCGATAATCTTTGTTGTAACACTTAGAGTTTGCTAAACTGGACTGATTCGTTTGGTTACCATCAAGCCATTGACGCACATCCACACTAATTGCTCGACGTATCTCCTTATCCACGAAGCTCCTGGTCAGATCAGTGCCCGGTATATTGACAACGGCTATGAA